TAAACGCTAACTTTAGTATTAACAAACTTTTAGAATTTTATTATCGAAAAATTTTTGGTGGTGCTCTTGGAGTAGTTTCGGGATCTACATAAGTGGCGTGATCTGGATTTTGCATAAGTGGGGTGATTCGGATCTGCATGGAATTTAATTTATAGTCTAATCGTACTGCATAATGCGTGTAACCCGGGTAATAATATATCCGGCGATAATCTTGTATTCATTTGGACAGCCGTAATTTCTTCAAAAATCTATAATAACCTAATTCCTGATTAAAATCCTGTTACTCTTATACCTCAAATTTGCAGGCGACTCTAATTATACGTATGTAAGTACATACGAAATATTGTAAATATAAGAAAGGGTACCGGCGTCTTGTTAAGACATAGAAGCAAATCTGCATCCATATATTAGCCTGCTCTCCCAATAGTGATACATAATGTAGTAGTATTATAAAGTTATTATGTATACGTACATACATATGTATATATGGTGGTCATTTACTGTGCCACTGTATCCTGTTTAGAGTATCATTCTTGGCACACCAAACATTGTGAACTAGTGTTTAAATATCTCAACAATTGACATGAAAATTTTTAATATAAAGTAATGTGAATCAAGAATAATACTTATTGGATGCCGGCATTTAATATACCTCATTTTGGCCTTGATTCAAGCTCTTAATGCTTTATTTTGCACGATATATTCATATTACTGTAACTTAATATAAAGTTTATAACCTGTATATATTTTAAATATTCACTACGTATCAAATTTTTAGTTGGCCTCTGTTTAATATTCTTACATATCTTCAGGTTATTTTTTTAAAAACCTTGTACTGTATTTTTTTTTTAAAAAAAAAAAAAGTCACAACAATCAACTATTAACACTTTAAAGCCTGTTTACAATTTGATTGAATTAGGATTAGACGATTATAATGAAAATGAACTTGTTCTTGATACTATTAATGATTTAAAATTATTTTTTGAGAATTCCAATAATTGTACTTGCTGTTGAACTCCAAAACTAAGAGATCTTAGAACTTGCTTTGAAAAAGTAGGATTTAAACGCTTTTTTGAAAGACATTTTGAGTTAAAAGCTTTAGAAGCACAAGAACATGAACTTTTTATAAAATCGCAATTATTGTCATTTGAAATTACTAATGAAAAATCAGATAATAAAATGTCTGAAAAACATACATATAAATTTAATTATAACAATTCTTTACCACTTTGTAAGCCTGCATACTTAAAATTGTGTGGAATGAATAGTTATTTACTTTTTACCTTACAAACTCATTTACAATTAAATGGATTAACTGAATGTATTCACAGAAATACTGGACATGCGTCTAAAACAGAATTGAGTTTTTTTTAGATCTTAATGTAATATTCCCAATTAAGCAATTTTTAATACAATATGGAACAATTTACGAACTTCCTTCTCTATTACGGCATTGAGACGATTCAGGTGTTTTTATTTATCTTCCAACTAGTCAAACTTACACTTCAGTCTATAATGAATTTAAAAAAAAAACTTTTATCTTACTCATAACCAATCAGAAAAAATAATTTCTTATTTTACCTTAGAAAATTATAGTACAAAATGGTTCCTAATCTTCGATTTCAGTCACATGCAAGTGATCTTTGTGAAATTTGCACTTCTTATAAAGCAAAGCTAACAGTTGCAAAGCAAGATATTGATGAATATAATAAAGTTCAAGTTGAATATGATGAACATAAAAAAGCTGCAGATCTTGAAAAACAGCATTATAATAATAATGTTGAAGAAAATAAAAGTAATTTGGATGTTACAGCCAATTTAGCTTAGGATCGTAAACATTAATATGAGAAACCAATTATTTTATTATCACACACAAGGTACCAAAAAGTATATAGAAGACACTGAAAGTATCAAGAGCCTCTAACTGATAAACCAACTTTCCTTATTTCTACCCGAACCCAAGAAGTACTACCCAGAGCACTATTCCAAGATTCCACTAAAAATCTAAAAATCTATCTTTATATATAAGTAATTAGACTCATATTGACTATCCTGCATGATGCAAAGTATAAGCTAATACGATAAAATGTCGTAATGATCGACAAAGTTTATCAGCGTAATTACTTCGATCATTAGTTAACTATAAACTAAACTATTAATATGTTACACAACTGAAAGTCATTATTTTGCGTAACAATACCCAACGAATCTGGGTAATCCTCACTAACGTAACTATCGTAATGCATAGGGTAAAAATCACCAAAGCTATTGCGGATTTTCTATAGTATCGGTGGGGTACCCCACTCAAATATATAGATTACTAATTCACTTGTAGAAAATCATTGCGTTTCTCCGGAAAGCAATATATCGAAATTCATAAAATAGCCAAATAGGAACGTACGTACAGCATATTTATGCAATAAACTTTAAAATTAGTTGGCTCTCTCCAACGTTAAGTTGTACGCATTTGTATTCACATATGGATGAAACATCAAAGGCATGGCTCGTCATCACAAAAACATGATATCAACTCTAAATGATGTCGGGAAGAGAAAACCTGTAAAATTGATTAATGAATTTTCACTATATCAAAAATCACTATACGTATCAATATCAATTTTTAGGGAACTCATGAATCAATTTACAATTTCTTGCACATCTGAGTTGGGAGAGCAATATGCACACATGCACAGATGGTTAACGGGTGATAAATACATAATAAAAGCTTGTAGAGGGTATTGGTGAAGGGCTTCAAGACATCTCGTTATCCTCCCTATTTATTAAGGTCTCGAGGTCTTTCTTAAATACATGATTTCGGATGAATATTTATGCATTTACATTCGTACTAGTAAGTCTTAAATGAATGCTCTTTCATACTAAATAAATTACAACATATGATTATCACCTAACTAATGTACATCATAAAACCGTCAACCATATATGGTCACAATAACTGTTTCTCGATGACCAAAAATTCAAATATAGAAATTCCGGCAGCTATAAAGTTAATTCGTCTGATCATATCTAATTTAATCATAATTTATAAGATTAGGATTTAAAATAAAAAAAAATTGCCAGAATTTTGTCTACGGCATTATGAACCAACTAGCTTTTTTGTTAGCCAGGATTATGATTTGAATTTTGATAAATCTTTGCACAAATTAAGTGACCATAGATAGAGTTGACTTATGAAAAGTTTTTTTAAATTCATATAATATTAGCAATTAATCCAAGCAATTGTATAGATGTATGGATATAATGAATTCTCAGAATTTGAACCAAATAACACATTCACATTAAGAAGTCATCAAGAAGCTTATGATGAGCAGATGCGAAGAATCATTAGCAAATTTAAATAAATCATTAGAAATTGAACCAAATAATGCATTTGCATTAAGAAGTCGTGGATTAATTTATCGTATGCTGAATAGATATGAAGAGTCACTTTCTGATTTAAATAAGTCATTAGAAATTGAACCAAATAACACGTATACACTATGTGAACGTGGAGAAACTTATCGTATGCTGAATAAATATAAAGAATCACTTGCAGATTTAAATAAATCATTAAGAATTAAGCCAAATAATGCATTTGCATTAAAATACCGTGGAGTAACTTATCACTCAATGAATAGATATAAACAGTCATTAACTGACTTAAATAAATGTTTAAAAATTGAATCAAAGAACGCAGAAACATTAAGAATTCGTGGAGAAACCTATGGCATGATGGGAAGATATGAAGTATCACTTGTAGATTTAAATAAATCATTAGAAATTGAACCAAATAATGCATTTGCATTAAGAATTCGTGGAGATACTTATCGCATGATGGGAATGTATGACGAATCACTTGCAGATTTGAATAAATCATTATCATTTAAACCAAATAATGCGGAAGCATTAAGAATTCGTGAAAATACTTATCGCATGATGAATAGATATGAAGAATCGCTTACAGATTTAAATAAATCATTAGAAATTGAACCAAATAATGCAGAAGCATTAAGAATTCGTGAAAAATCACTTACAGGTCTAAATATGTCATTATCATTTAAACCA